ACAGCTGTCCTGTGAAATGCTAAAGAATGGTGTTCTGTTTATCTGTCCCCAGTCACTGCAAATAAAGCGCGCTTTCCCTTTGGCAGAGCAGATCACACTGTTTATATTAGCTCTAATTTGTCTTTGTGTTTGACGCCTGTTATGTCGGTCTTTCATCTGCACAGTATGGATCCTAGAGTGCTAAAATAAGTGTGTTGAGTAGTCATGTGACCTACATCAGGCATCTAGATGAAAATACACAAATCACATGGCATGCTGTATATTAAAGGAACCATGTCCTCTCCATTTGCTCTCAATTTAATCTCATTGCCTTCTCTGAGGAAAAAGTCAAGATATTAAAAACATTTTCTTTTCTTTAGGGAATAAGAGAGAGGAAGAAAAATGAGAAAGAGACTAAAGGGTCAGAGGTAATTAACCTTAAACGACTGTTTACTTAAACGATCCTCCAGGGTCATTAAGATTGGAGCGCGCTGAAGTCTGCAGTTCATAAAAACATGTTTAATTTTTCATTTGCTGGAACGCTATACTAACACATTCAGCCGTAATATTTCATCGCCGCTGGATATTTCCAATACTAGATTCTGCAGCTAGATTGGCCACTTTTGTGGGTGAGGTTTGAGGAATCATTGGGCTGGGAAAAAAAAAAAAAAAGGAGCACATGCATACGCACAGGCACACACACACACACACACACACACACACAAAAGCTGAGTAAACACGGGGTCCTCTCCTCTTCAGCTGTGTTATTCACTCTCTGCTGCTCTAAGAGACTGTGTACACACTGTAACACAGACTCATGTAAAATGCATGATGTGTTTAAACTGACCAATGTCCATCACAGGCAGTGCCTTTATAAGGGTTGATTTATGCTTTTGTCAGATTCAAACATTCACTCAAACATTTCTATGTTCAGAATACCTCTTGTATGGTTTCTTAGTCCTTACAAATGTATAAGTAAACTCTGCACATAATGGACATTTGCTAATCACAATTGTAAATTATAAAATGGAAAGTTCTGATTGGAAAATGCATATAAACACACTTGTAATCGGCTGGCTGCTATTAATCTGTATTAATTTACCATGGTGATACATTGCCACATAAATAGCCCACAAAATTAAGATATTGAGGTGAATTAAAAAAGTTATGAATTATGAATGCACAAAAAACATAGTACTGATAAAATTGCACCGCTTTTCAAATTAAAAATGCAGGAGACTTGACAAGAATTGAGTATCATATTTTACATTACAGCATGTAGTGATATGTATTCTAGTATATTAGTATAGTTTAAACAGACAGCAAACAGGGGAATAGCCAGTTATTCAATAAAACCCTAAGAAATCTACTGTAATATAAGATACAAATCTATAAAATAACATAAGATATGGTATATGATCTAGCCATTCTTGACCCCCTTGGTGCGATTGACAGAGCATTTGTGCCTTCATTCCTCAAGATGTTTTGATAAGTAAAACATCAGTTATGCAGATGCTAATTGTTACTTCTCACAGTAAATTGTTATTTCTCACAGAGCCCATTTTAAATTCTGCTTCTTGAAAATAAACAACAGAATTATGCTTGCAAAACCCATTTGAGATCTGTGTTCTCAAATAAACCTTGAAACTCCTCTGACAATAAATCTCCAGAATTCACCTGCTGAGAGATTTAGCAAGCGTTCTCGGCAATACACTTAAAGAAACAGTCGACCCAAAATGACTATTGCACTCCATCTGAGATGCTAGAGCCTTGGGATTCTATTTGACACACATTGGCATATTTTAAGCTCACATCTTATTGACAAAAGCATCTCATGTGCACGCCTCACTCCTTCAGGAATGTTAACAGTATTGTAATATTCTCTCGCACTAATCGGACAGGCTGCTCATACATAGTCAAGCCGTCCTGCGCCTCCCCGTTCTCCTCAGCGTGAGCTGTCAAACTCAAAGCCTTTGATAATACTGCTTCCAACTCTTTGAAGTAATTTAAATACTGTTGGCTCCGTGTTGAATTAAATGCAATTGGATGGATATACGTCTGCACAACGAAAATGAAAAGAGTGGGTGTGAACTGTCAAAACGGGTCTTTTTGGGCATCAAACCGAGCTGAGCCATTGAAAACAAATTCACAATTAATTAAAAATTTAGAGAGTTCTCTGGCCTGTAGAGTATATATATAGCATGCGATTTGACATGTTAGTCAAATTAAAAGCAACATACAATCCCAATTGAACAATTCACCATAGAAATATATGGCCCGATCTCACACCCTGTACAATGCAGCGCCAGGCGAGACAAGTGTTTTTTGCTAGTTACAGTCCGACGCAGTTATCATTTTCACATCCTCCACCATGTTGTTTAAATAGACTATTTTTTATGCCCATTTGTGTCCCATGGGTGTGCCGGCCAGAAAACGAGGTGTGTTCAGGCGCATTGTTGGCGCGTTGCTATTTTGAGGGAACTGAAATAGACTGCGCCATTGGTCAACACAAACCTGGTCTAAAGTCAATGGCCAATATTTTGTTTGTTATTTAAAGAGCGCATTAGTAATGTGTGCCTATAGGTGGGTCAACAACCAAAATAAAAGGGTTACAATGTAAAAGATTAATATTGTGTACGTAAAGATGTGGTGGAATCCGGCTTTTTAGATGGCCTGCTTGCATGCTCTGGAGGGGCTCATTGCACGCTCATTTAAATAGCAATTCAGCATAGCGCGAGCGCAACTGGCTTTTTAAAGGGAATGGGAGATGAGACTCTGGTTGGTTTATCACATTTTACGCTCAAAACACACCTATTACTCAATTTTTCCCATTGTTAAACTAGCAAAAGTCAGATATGATCTAAGTGAACCCTGTGATTTAGACCATGCGCTTAGATCGTTAAATTAGGGCCATTTAGATCTATACAGGGGAAATGAACTGCTCTAACCCTCAAAAAAACCTGTAAAAATGTCAAAACAAAATTTAAATTGTACTTAATGGTTAAATCCAGCCCATTCTTATCCCAAGGCATCATCTAACTGACGCTTTTGACCATGTGCCAACATCCGACGCACTTGGCACCCTTTAGCATCATTAAGAGATACGCCACCTAGTGGTCTAACCCTAACCCTACCCCAGACCTAAACCTACCCTCGTCATCTAACTGACGCTAAAGGTTGCCATGTGTGTCGGATTTAGACGCATGGTCAAAAGAGTCAGTTAGATGACTCCCTAGGATGAGAATGCGTAGTTAACTCTTATGGTTAATTATTTTCTATAATGCATATTATTTTCAAAGAAAAATAACAATAAATAACTTTTTGCGGCCATCATAAAGCCCTCTTATTTTTGATGATCCAATCAATTCCTGATAAATAAAATCAAGTCCCACTCTATTTTTCCTCACTGAATATTCAGTACCTTTTAAAAAAAACACATCAAACTGAAGTAAATTTGTTGTAAATGTGTTTTATGTTAACCTTCACAACTTGAAATCAGTATAAACCAGCAGAACCGTGAACAGTGTGACGGAATGAAAGGGGGAATATAACGGGTAATGAATTTGGCAAGTATTGTTCTGAGATTACACTTGCAAACTTCACTTTACTTTGCAGTCTCACACATCGACTTGAAGATAGATACAATCAGGTGCACAATACCCAGAAGTCTTTTATCTGCGTGGATGGCATTTCAGTGTGTGACAGGAGGGTATGGAAACCCATTTCTGTCTCAGAGTGAAAAAACAAAACAGTAATTGTAAAAATCAAATTTGAAATAAGAAATAAAGCCAAGTTTTGTTACTGTTAACTAAAATTAAATGCAAGTAAATTTGTTTTGATGCATTTTATATTACCGGCAAAGAGATGTATGTGAGAGATCATGAGGAGTGAGGGATGCTGGCTGATCCATGCAGGCCGTTTATATCATCTTTGGCAGGAAACTTTTATTTATAATCCAGAAATGCAGTGATTTGCTGTCATATTTCTCCACCAGACCCCGAATGTGTTAAAATTAAGAAGAGGCACAGTTACATAAGGAGAAAAGCTGGGGGACACTTAGAGGTGATTTTCAAGTACAAATTTGGAGTCCAAGAGTGGAGAATGGTGGGAAATGACCCATCATCACCATCACCTGCCCACTTGCCACAGATTCTCGGTAAGAGGATCTGGCAACCACACGCACATCATCAGACAGCTGCGCTCGCACATTCACACTCGTACTCGCATTTGGCCTCGCTCTTATTCTCATGCAAGCACCAACACACACAAGCGTGTGTGTGGGCATACATTAGACACCAAGACCCACTCGGCTGGCACCAAACACAAACACACAGGGGAATGGCAGCTGTGGTTCCCCATCTGGGCCGCTGTATGTTTGCGCCAATGCTGGGGTAGATGACGGTTAGAAACTCTAGATTTCAAAGCTACAAACTTCGTCACACTTTATATAGGTCCTTAACTACTACATGGACGTACATCAAAAGAAAGTGCAATTGGCTTCATATTGTATTGCAAAATATTTGTTTTGAACGAAAGTCTTGTGAGTAATTGATGACACTAACCTTTAAACCACAACGTTTGATTTTAATAATGCATTACAATGGTAGTGTTTATTGCCACAGTATTAATAAAATTCGATTTTTTCGGCAGAATTCGATTTGTTTTGTTTGTTGTTGTTTTTTTTTTTTTTTGTGTTTCTTGTTTCTTTTTGCACTGTATGACTTAACAAACATTTTGTCTGCCTTGTACTTTTGTGCCATTGCCTGAAATAAAAAAAAAAAAAAAAAAAAAATGTAGCAACAGTCAGCAGAAAGCCATTCCTTTCTGAACACAAATCCTTGTGATTCATTAACAAATCTGATTGAATCACTCGGTTTAATTGCTTGAAATTGTGCTTGAGGAACCAAAACACTCAACGATGGAAGAACATGAGAGATTCTTACAGTCTTGTGCATTGATTATATAACCAAAAAATGGATGGACCTACTTCATTAACAGCAATTTAGAAGAAAATCACTCACCCCAACTGGAAGATACAGCTTTCGCCGAAGACCATGTTGGGTCAACTTTCATGCTGAAGCCCAAGGAGACATCTTAAAGACAAACAGAAGATGAGAAGGAATTATGAGAAGTTTCATGATAATGACAGGCCGGCAGAACAATGTTAAACACAGATTTATTTCTCTGTGACGAAGATTAAGCGAGCACACTGAAAATACTGGTTCTAGTGTCATAACACTCCTCCGAAATCCCATCTTTGAAGCTCGCATCCCAACTGGCTCTTTAATCTCTGACCTTGATTCCAGCGAGGCTTGTTTAAGGCTAAGCAGATGCCATGAAAGGCTCTGAGGAATCAGAAATACTTTAATAAAACCACTTTGAAGATTCAAAGATTTTTTTTCTCTCTTCAAAACTAAAAATTCAACAGCCCTCCCTCCCTCCGTCCGTCCATTCTTTTTTCTCGAAGGCCTCCCTCTCTCTTTTATGTCACGGAGCCGAAACTTCGGGATCTGCCATCAGGCCACTATCAGTGAGTGGAGAGAGCGATTAAGCGGTTGATAAGCAGTCAGGCATGGCCGACCTCCACAGCGGGACACCGATACTCAGCCCAGAGCAAACCGCTCTCCCAGCAGCCCTTAATGGACAATATTATGTGAAATTGTCCCTATTGTTGAGAAGCATGGAGTCAGGAAGGATCACGGCGAAAGAGAAGCCTGTTCGATTAGACTGGATTCTGAGTGGTTCCCTTTGTGTAAACAGGGCATGGATGTATAGCAATCAAGTGCTTCAAGAGCAGTTAAGGATTTGGAGAGGAAACCAACATGTATTTGTAAGTACAGTGTTGAGGAAAAAACAATTAGCTAACCAACAAGCCATCCAAATGAACGATTCGCAAGAATGAATCAGACTTACCAACACTAGGCTACATATCGGCTGAATGTACGATATACAACTAGATATCAAAAAACAACTACATTTTGGAAATAAGCTATTAAATTAAATGATTGGAAAAGCAACACTGTTGTGAAAGTAGCTGAACTGCTTATAAATCAAATTAGCAGCATCAGCAGCTTCCAAGCCCTCAATCAGGTCATGGCGTCTATACGAACCCAATCGACATTTACTTAATAATAATAATAAAAAAGGTTCCCTTCATCTCAGTGGAATAAGATTTTGTGACTTTTCATACATTATGTATCTATACACACACACACACACACACACACACACAAAAAAAAAAAACTGGGCTTGATTCGGTTGTTCTGAAAGTATGTAAAAAAAATGTTTACACTTCTGGTCTTCGGGGTTAATATGACCCCACATTGAAATGAATAGGAAATGTGAAAAAATAAATGAATAAATAAATACATTTTCTTCATGTGTCAAAAAAAAAAAAAAAAAAAAAAAAAAATCCGTCATGAACCTGATTTTTTTTTTACACAGAAATGAAGACCTAGTACTAGAGCATAAATGCAATGTGTCATAAAAAAAATATTTCATATGCAAGCGAAAGGTGTAGTTGAGGAATTGTGTGGTATATGGATACAAAAGTACTTTATATCTCCAAAAACACAGCAGTAATGAATAGATGAAAAGTAAACAAAAAATGGTATATTATTTGTTTGATTAAAAATTTCTATTTTTTGTACAATTACTCAATCAATTGTTGGGGTCGTATAGACCCCGAAGCCCAGAAGTGTAAACAGGAAACGTAGACCATTTGAAGGTTGAAAATAAACTCTTTCACAAAAATACTTTCTATAGAATGGATTTGACAATAACGTTTTCTCTGGTGTAAGAGAAAACTAAATACAACTAATTTTAAGCTTCTTGAACCACATTTTTAAATAACAGCATTTACATTTCAGTATAGCCCACCTGCTGATAATGTACATATCAGTGTCTATCTAAACATATATAAATGCTCTTGTGCTAACCGCTTCTTACATATGCATATGAATATTAATAGGATTTCTGTCTGAAAGAACGAGCTACACTACCACAACACCTAAAAATGTTTTCTGACACATAACTCATCTTGAGAGGTCAAATAACTGAGTTGCTCTTTGTACTTGAGCGTCTCGGCTCATCAGTTCACCATATGGCCATGAATGCCGATTTAGGCCTTTGAAACATATATTACATATACTGTTATTATGCAGGATCTCTTTTGTGATATGTGTGCTAATTCGGGACCTTGAAGTGACCAACTTTAAAAAAAAAACGTTAACATTTTCTTCAATTACTTGCTTTTAAACCAAAATCACTGTTAAGGTGAGGGAAGCCTCATGTGCATTTAAAATAAGCTGTGCATTCTGAGTAAATACAGCTTTTGCAACATATAAACAACTAATACTTCATTGAATAGTTAATATTTAACCAGTGCCGAATTCCCATTAGTTCAAGTGAGAAATAGGCCTAGTCATATTTTCATATTTTAAATGTTCATCTAAAGTAACTAGACTAAAACAAACTGAAAATCAAAGTATATTTGAAAATATAAGTATGTATATGATCAAGAAACACTATTATAAGATTCAACAAAGGTATAATGTTGGACCTGTGATGTTTATGCACACAATATGGGCATTATATTTAAGCCAAGCTTACAACAGCAAAACTGACATGAAGACAAACAGCCTCTTCAGTGGAACATCAGTACAGCAATAAACCAGATCTTGTGTTTGAAATCTTTTCCTGTTTGTTATTTCATGAATATACCGCTTATTGTTTCATATCTTATTTTCTTCCTGTTTAATGAGCTATTTTTCTGCACACTAGGAACAGGCAGTAGACAAGTCATTAATTAAGATATTTTAACCATCTTTTGTCATAATGATTTTATCACGCCAGTTTCTATACAGGATGAAATGAATCAATGAACTACTGCAAAATACAACAAAACCAACTTACTGATGTTTGTGCTATTTTTGTCCCTCCAAAATGGTGTCACTTCCTGGAAGAACATCCATATATACACTAGATGTCGCCTTGGGGTTCTAAGCATGCGTCAACACTGCCGCCATCTTGGAACAGGCGTCTTGTCATAGAAAGTAGCTAGGTAACGCTGCTATCTCCACCTGTATTTCGAATTAATGGATTTTCGGACTTTTGAGCTGTGTATGGATGTTCACACGAACGAAATCTGAACTAGGAAGAATGTTTAAAATATTCTTTAAAAAATTTAATTTTTCCTCTGAACTCAATGATAAATACATGACTGACCATTGGAACGAACCAAAAAAACTAGAAAATCACATTCATGAGGATTTACAGTGAGTTTATTTCCGTTCGACCTTTGCCTACATTGACGCGCTGATGCATTAAAGTGGAGGGGCTCCCCTTTTCCAAGATGGCGGCTCTATTGACACATTCGTTCCAATGAACTGCCGTAGCTAAGGTAACATCTAGTGTATATATCTATGGGATCTGATGACAAAGGCTGTGTTCCACTTCAAATTTTATTATATTAGATATCACGAGGATTTTAGGATATCGCAAGAGTCTACGGAAAGTGATAGAGGACAAAAAAGTACAGTAGGTATAGATAGATTGCTTATAGAAGAAAAACTATATCAATAATTTGATTTAAAACTTGTATATAAAGATATTTTTAAAATAAAAATAAGTATATGTGCACATTTAAATAAATATAAACATACAAATATAAATAAGCATATATTATAAATAATTCTTTTACATAAGACTTACTTCAATGCAAATACATACAATCAGCCAATCACATGGCAGCAACTCATTGTATTTAGGCATGGACAGATCGACGATCTACTGAAGATCAAACTCAACATCAGAATGGGGAAGAAAGGTGATTTAAGAGACTTTTAATGTGGAATGGTTATTGATGCACATGGGTTGGTCTGATTATTTCAGAAACTGCTGATACTGGGATTTACACACACAACCATCTATAGGATTTACAGAGAATGGTCATAAAAAAAAAGAAAATATCCAGTGAGCAGCAGATCTGTGGGTAAAATGCCTTGTTAATCAATTACAGAGGTCAGATGAGAATGGCCAGACTGGTTCAGTTGATAGAAAGGCAACAGTAACTCAAATAACCACTCGTTACAACCGAGGTCTGCAGAAGAACATCTCTGACTGACAACAGATGAGCCGCAGCAGAAGAAGACACACCGGTTACACCAACAAATCTGCCGTAAATGCATGATGATGTCCTGTTATATGGACCAAAATCTCTGAGGAACATTTCCAGCACCTTGTTGAATCTATGCCATGAAGATTTAAGCCAGTTCTAAAAGCAAAAGGGGGGCCATTCCAGCAGTACAGCATACCTAAGAGTGTGTATATATCCATGCATATATATGTAGTTTAATGTTTCATCTAATGCGCTGTGACAAAAAGGAACACCTGGCATTTTCTGTCTCAATACAATCATTTATAATATCCAAGTGCTCTGGAGCCATAAAATATTTGATATGACTCTACATGGAAGAATGCTAATATTGATTTTTTTCCTCGAATGTAGCCAGCTGTGCGTATTGACCTGGTATTGATGGGATTCAGTCGGCCATTCATACCACAACATATGCCACACATCTACTGCAACACCTGATATTGCAGTTATTTTTATCATGTGGTGAAAATAGCATCAGATTTGCTGTGTCGGCGTTGGCATGTGGTCTTTGAACACGTGACTTCTGAGCTGGCATGTAGGGTGTGTGTTTTCCATTACAGTGGGATTCAAAATGTCCTTTGTATTGTGGTTTTGAACAATGTGTAGGCTATATATGTGATATGATGTATAGTGTGCCTGTGGAAAATCAAGAGGGGAAAGAAAGTGTCAGTATGGTTGTTACACTGTCACATCTGCATCCTCCTTTAACATATTCAAACGAATGACATCAGAAAGGCGTACCCATGCCTAGTCGAAGTGTAATGTGATTCAGCTCTCGGGCTGACGATGCACAGTGATCGACAGTCAGATCCCTGCGCACACAATGGAAATCAAGCTGAGAGCTGATGAAAAATGTGCGTGGGAAGCTGTGATGCATTCTGGGAAATGGCTTCGGCCGATCAGTCTCCTGCGGCTCTCGAGTGTAAAAGAAGAGAA